ATATATATATATATATATATATATATATATATATATATATATATATATATATATATATAATTTTAAGTTGCAATATAGTAAAAATTACCTTTGCATAATCTAAGCTAGTGATTCTTCTACCCCAACTGTAGAATCTACCATATATATAGAATATCCCTTTGTGAAATAATATAAATAAAGGTACTATGGCACGTAACTTGAATAAGAAGATATTCAAGAATGTTACTGCCTCTGGTGTCAACTCATTGTCTGGTTCATTAACACGTGCTTGCAGGTGTCTCAGAAGTTTAAGTAATATCCTTTCTCCAAAAATTTCCAAAATAATAGCTAATATTCTTACCTGGATTTAGAAGATGAGCTCAGAATATAATATCGATATACAAGTTAGCCATGATGTAAACTTTACTTCAACAGTTAACATAGAAACTTACAGTCAGCGATGGGACCTTAAATTGCTCTAGGTTAGCTTGCACTATACCAGTGTATTCCTCACCCAACGTTTGATTACCCATGCCTGACGTGAAAGCAAAGTAAATTAATTTGAGCGGAGCGTCGAGTTGAACATATTGATACCATTTTTTGTGTAATCCAAAATTTTGCAATATCTCGAATAATTTCTCCCGCAGATGTTCTGTGAAATCGACGTCCCGTTGATGCGATCGTAAGATCTCCGCTTGAATTGCAAATTTTAACTTGCGGCGAAGCGGATTATCAGATCTCATTTTGGGATATTATTATTTTTATATTATCCGGCGTCAAGGCTCCATCACATACCTCAACAAGTTTATGGTACTCTTCTGTGGAAGATAATGTTGAAGTGCGTGAGTCACAAATGTGAGTCCAGTGAAGATTACAATTTTAATCTCAATTTCCCACAATTTCTCCTTTTACGATTTTTAATCTTTTAAGATAGAGTATCACGAATTTCTCTAAATATTGTATTATTTATATAAAAATGTTCAGATTCAAAATAAAATCATACAGCAATACGCACATGTATGTAAATAAAGAATTTCCTGTGTGTTTTTGCATTTTATATTTTGCATGTCATATATGAAATTTAAGGCCCTTGCAGAATGCCAGGCAACAGGCAATAGGAACAGGGAATAGGAATTTGGATTGGTCAATTATTTCTATTCCCTGTTCCTATTGGCTAATGCTTATTTCTATTTCCTATAACCTGACATTGTGCAATGGTCTGTTTTTTCAGCTGCACTGCTAAACTGGTGCAATAAGTTATGGCTCCTGCACACAGGACGCGATAATGCTTGCCGCGCGGCGAAAGTTGGCGCGAAAGCCAATTAATATGTTGCTTTTTGTAATAACCTTCTAGCTCTTACGGAAAAACAACATATTGATTGGCTGTCGCGCGGACTTCCGCCGTGCGGCAAGCATTACCGAGTCCTGTGTGCAGGAACCATTAGGCGAGAGTGGGGAGCGCTTCTCCGCTACGAGTGAAGGAAGTGGAATAAACATGATAGCCAAGCATGGTTACTGGGCCGCCAATTGTGCAACCCTGTTCTAGAGTATTATCATTAGAATCAACAATAAGCGCTCTAAGGTTAGTAATTCTCAAAGCAATATTCAAAGCTCATCTAGAACTCTTTAACCTTCATTTACTTTACTTCTTTCAAGAAAATTGATACTTCTTGAGGAGCATTAGAATGCGGTTATTGATAAAATTATTGATAACATTATTGATAAAACGGTATTCCAATGCTCCTCAAGAAGTACCAATTTCCTTGAAAGAAGTAAAGTAAATGAAGGTTAAAGAGGCGTTCTAGATGAGCTTTAAATATCGCTTTGAGAACTACTAACCTTATTGTTGAGAGCGCTTATTGTTGATTCTAATGATAATACGTTAGAAGATCTCAATTGATTCGTAAATGCATAAAGAGTGTATTTAATGTCTTAAGGTCGTAATCAGCGACCTTAAGAACCTTGGTTGATCATTTTGGAGCCGATTTGAGTAATCGTGTGGCGTATAGGAAGTCACGTACGGATTTTTTTATCGTTTTTTCCAGTTTCCGCTGCCATATTAGAGCCGCCATGATGAATTTCTCAAAAGGTCAGATAGTAAACAACATTAGACATGATCACCTAAAATTTGAGCCTAGGTTGACCTCAATCGATCCATACAAATTTTGGGCAGAGAGGATGGGTGTATATCAGTTGGACACGGGGCAATTGGACACAGTCCAATCACAAGTCGCTGTTCCAAGGGACTCTACAAATGTCTCTAATCACACGGTGCTGTGATTGGCTGTGTCCAAATGCACCGTGTCCAAGTGCACCGCTCCCAGAGAGGATGGCCGGTTTGACGAAGAATGCCTCAGAACGTTCAACATTTTTTAAAACATTATTTAAAATACCGTTATTTGAGGTAACTTGGAACACCGGAGTAACTTTGAACAATTTGCAACGGCTTACAAAAGGGAGCGGTGCACTTGGACACGGTGCATTTGGACACAGCCAATCACAGCACCGTGTGATTAGAGACATTTGTAGAGTCCCTTGGAACAGCGACTTGTGATTGGACTGTGTCCAATTGCCCCGTGTCCAACTAATATACACCCCTTACAAAAACATGTAGCTTCATTCAACGGATAAAAGTAGAACTTTCATATCAGCGATATAAAATTTACTCTAAATGACGCTATATTATTGTCCTTGAAATAAAGTAATTTTTGTCAATTTATGTCTGATATATTGACATTTTCGGCTTATTAATTTTTCCTCATAATTTATAACAATTTTAACATAATTTTCTATAATTAATTTTGTTATAAAGTATTTGTGGTTTTCAAGAAAGTCTAATTTTTTTTTATTACTTCTCCTATACTATTACGTCTTTCCCATAGACATATATAATAGACTGCGCCGTCCTGTAAGAGGCGCTATCCGCAACACCCGAGAGAGAGAGAGAGCAATATGAAAAGTAGCTGTGTCTCATTCTAATACGCCAGTTGGTGGGGATGTGAAAAAAAACAGGGGAGTGCATGGGAGAGAACAGAAGAGAGAACTGGAGAACTGTTCTAACCGGAAGCGGTGCACTTGGACACGGTGCATTTGGACACAGCCAATCACAGCACCGTGTGATTAGAGACATTTGTAGGGTCCCTTGGAACAGCGACTTGTGATTGGACTGTGTCCAATTGCCCCGTGTCCAACTGATATACACCCGTTCTAACCTCGCACGAGATATCAAATATATGACAGCTCGAAAAATATATTTATTTTAAAATGGTTCACGTGCTGCATTTGCAAATTTCAAGCTGGTGCTATTGACGTTTTCACTTTTTCCCCTTACCGCCAGTTACACTTCTCCACGACAACTCCCCTCCAACTTCCTCTCTACTCTGTGTGATGTGCGAAAGCTACTTTTGGACTATCTCGGTCCTTCGATCCCTCGGACAGCCAGCCCATATGAACGCGCAGTCTATTATATATGTCTATGGTCTTTCCAATATGTATCACCATGTAATACTCGGATATTAGAAGCGTTTACGTTGCTAACTCTGTTTTGCTCTACTGAGTTCCTTCTTTTGCCGTTGTTTTGTCCTGGCGGCGCTACAGATGTTGATAGACATTTAGGCCGGTATTCATAATCAGATCTTATATTTAAGATCAACTTAAATAGGGAGCGTCCCGATTGACCACGGTACGATTGGACACAACCAACCGATGAAAAGAATTATCTAGTGAATTACTAGGTCGAACCAATCATTACAATCTGTGTCCAATTGTATCGTGGTCAATCGGGTCCCACCCCTTACGAAGAAGCACTCTGAGCTAGTTTCGGGTCAAAAATATAATTACCTCTCTATAATTTTAGTATTTCATGTTCTGCCATATAGTGTCTCAAATAGCGATCGGCTTACCTCGCAAGTTCTTTTTATATTCAACGAGGTAACAAATTGTATTTTAGAAGGTAAATATTACATTTATTCAATAATGTATATATATATATATATATAAAATTATGAAAATGTAAAATTAACATTATTACGTATTTGAATATGTATTATATTTTATATAAAAATAAATTTATATGTAAATTATTATATGTTTTTATTAAATGTATATGTAATATATATAACTTTTACACTATAATTACTAATTGCTGTTGGTCACATATTATTTAAAATCGTAAATTTGTAGATACAATGTAGAATCAATAAAGACAAACTCAAGTTAAAGTTTAATTTGCAGAATGGAAAATTATGCAGAAAAAGAAATAGAAGAAATACAACCTATGGTTGATAATGGTGAGTAATAAAGTTAATTGCAATTTTATAATTTAGTAAATTTTGTTAATTTTTATAACGTGTTTCATTTAAGTTTTATAGACAGTAATAGAATTTGTTGGGATGAAGCGATGGCGAAATTGTGTTATTGCAAGAACTTGGTGCACATATACATTTATTTGGTCATTAAACATATAAAACTATTTGGAAGTCTGTTGCAAGTAGTATCAATGAAAAAGGATACAATGTTAGTGCCGAGCATTGCAACAGTAAATGAAGGAGCTTAAAGAAAAGATATAAATGTATCAAAGATAATATTAAGCAATCTGGTGCTGGTAGGCAACGATACTGGATTTACTGTGATATTATTGATGACATTCTTAAGAAATATCCAAAAGTACCACTACCCAGATAACATGCATGTCTAAAAGATGTCGAAAAGATATTTAAAAGATATCTTATGCAACATTTTGTTACATAAGACATCTTTTAGATATCTTTTTGACATCTTTTAGACATGCATGTTATCTGGATATTCTTAGCGTCTAACACATATACACTGGTGGTTTCAGAATAACTGCTGATGTAGATATAGATGAGAATAATGTTGATAATTCTACAGAAACACTTTCATGTAGTAATGTGACAAATAGGCTTGGTAAAATTCAAAAACGTAGAAATGTTAGTGAGCCTTACTAATCCTAATTTATATCAGCAGTTATTCTGAAACCAGCAGTGTGTTGGACGCTAAGGATAGTGGTGTTACTTTTGGATGTTTTTTAAGAATGTCATTGATACCATCATAGTGAATACAATATCATCTACCAGCACCAGATTGCTCAATATTATCTTTGATACATTTATATCTATTTTTCAAGTTCCTTCATTTACTGTTGCAATGCTCGGCACTAACATCCTTTTTCATTAATTCCACTTACAACAAACTTCCAAATAGTTTTATATATATGATGACCAAATAAATGTATATGTGCACCAACTTGTTGCAATAATAATTTTGTTATCATTTCATCACAACAAATTCTATTACTGTTTAACTAATTTAAATTTAACACTAACATGTTATAAAAATTAATAAAATTTACTAAATTATAAAATTATACAATTGCAATTAACTTGATTACTAACCATTATTAACCATAGGTTGTATTTCTCATATTTCTTTTTTTGCATAATTTTCCATCTGAAATCTAAAAGTAAATAAATAAATAAAACGTTTAAAAACTTATGAATATCAAAGAAATCATCATTCATCTTTCATCAATCTAAATTAAACTTTAACTTAAGTTTGTCTTTATTGTATCTACATTGTACAAATTTACATTTTTAAATAATATATGACTAACAGCAATTAATAATTATAGTGTAAAAGTTATATATATATATATATATATATATATATATATATATATATATATATA